ACGGGAATGTTGGGAGTCGAAGTCCACAGGTCTTAAAGTTGCTAAGACTGGATACCTCTAATATATATGATTGCAGCTAATACCGTGTTTCCCCAAAAATAAGATAGGGTCTTATTTTCTTTTGACACCCCCCCCCCAAATAAGCACTTGGCCTTATTTTCAGGGAGGTCTTATTATTTTTGAGGTGCAGAAGGTGGTGAGCTTAGTCACCTTATGGCTGCTGCTCTGTTGCCATATTTGGGGGGGCTTATTTTCGGGGGGGGGCTTATTTTAGCACATGCGCTCAAAAGTCCGATTGGGCTTATTTTCCGGGGAGGACTTATTTTAGGGGAAACAGGGTAGGTATAAATTTTACAGACACCCCTGATCTATATGATTGCCGTTGTAAGTATAAACTTGATGAAATGGATTTTAAACCACAGGTGATCCCTCCTTTTATATAGCTATATCCGGGAATGACTGTATTGTTTTACAAATATCATCTATCATAAAATAAGCAGAGTTATGGAATGAACTTTTTTTTAAAAAGCAGATCTAGAATTGAGTGATATAATGCAAGCTTGGGCTGCCTTGGGTCAGAATAGCCCCTTCTGCACATACTTGCCTAAGCCTTTCAGTATCTTTTCTGGGTATGTCATCTTCTCCGTTTCTCCAGTGAAATTGAGTGGGTCCAGGGAAGATAATCCAAAAAATATTCCTAACTTTGATCAGACCCTCCTTATATGCTCTGGTATCTTAGATGCCAGATCAAATCATTCCTCTTTTCCTCAGTATCTGGGTGTTTAAACTCATTTCATTTGTAATCACATCACTTTTTTTTTTTTCATTTTATCATATTATTTCATGGATTATAATTTGCTCCAATATTGACCCTGCTATAAATATTTTAACAGATAAAGAAATCAAGTTGATGCTTCTCAGCTGCTTCAAAGCTGTCTTAGAAATGATGTATTGATTATCATGAGTCAGAAAACAAATAATTCCGCTGGAACCTATAATCCAAAGAAGATGCCTAAATGGTCCCACGAGGGCTTTATAAGTTCATACTTCTGGAAGCAACAGCACATCATTCCATAAGTCTGAGTAGTTGCTGGAGCTTTACGTATACTGTTCGGTTGGAAAAGCAGCAGTAATGCCACTCAGCACTTTTGATGGAAAGGGAAAAAGGAGGAAAATGAGATTTACCTCCCTATTTCCTCCACTTAAACATCTGAACCTGATATTCGAAATGTGCTCTCCGCACATAAGTTTTTTGGCAGAATGCTTTGGTGGGGAAAATAACTATACAGTGTGCAAGCCGAGAAGGGGAAAAAAATCTGTTCAACAGGAGGGGGCAAAGCTGTAATCATGATGCTGCTACAGACCAAAGATTCCCTTAGCAACAAACTTCTGCAAAAATAAACATTTGGCTGCTGTGCTTGGTATTGGTAGCCAGCGTGACATAGTGGATAGAGGAACATTAGACTAATTCCCTGCCCTGAAATTACAGTTGCCAGACTGAAATGTCTGCAATCAGGCCGTCTCTGCTAAATTAGGGCTTGTTGCATAAGTCTGAAGGGGGCAAGAACTGCCAAAGGCTTTCTCTGGCATCCTAGAATTTATTGTTAAACATCTATCAGAGCCTCAAGAGGCTTTATATGATCTGAGTAGATGTGAAACACTGGTCTGAGAGGAAATGTGTTTCCTGTGTTTCCATAGAGACCCTGGATGTTTTTCAGAGCTGTGCTCTCTTTCCCCTTTGTCCTTAAAATATGCGATTAAATGTACGTGAGAGCAAATTCTGACCTGCATCTCTGCAAATTTGATTACTTGGATTCTTAAAATTGAATCTTCTTGCACTGGAGAGGATCGTAATCTGCAAGGAGGTAGCTTTTCTTCACTGCTTTCTGGCTCAGCAGCAATTTGCCAAAGAAAGCCAACAGCAGATAAATCAACCCTTTACTCTCTTAGATCTCTTAGATACTCCAATATTACCTTGGCAAGGCGGTCAGTCCTGGATTTTTAAAAGCAGTGACTAGCTAATGATCATTTTTGCCAATTTCAGATCAGCAATTTTGTCAGTCAATGTTGCTTTAAGTGTATGCATTTTAAATCTAGATATTTTTAATCATTAAGAAGACCCCAAGGAGAGGCACTTTACATTCTACTAATCAAATTACTTTTTATGAATTCATATCCAACTTTCTCTTACTCCTAGCTACCTAGATCGAATAGTGAGGCTCTGTAATTAGATTAATGTGTTTGATAAGTGATCAGAAGGCAGCATACATGTTTGGATTTGTGTTTGTGTGTTGCAGAACAATCAAAAAGTTTAAGAAAATGCCTTTGACCATACTTCATTTGATAACCTTCGCACTGACAGTGATTGGCATCTGCAAATAGGAAGGTAATAAGAAGTCAATAGACTTATTTTGGTAAGCTGCCTAG